TCTTTAATGTTGTATTCAAAATGCCCGTGAAAACCGATTCGTCGTTCTTAGAGGTTTCTAATTATTTTTTAGATAACAGTTTTATTTATCTGCTTCAAACTTGGCTTTTCTCGATTCTATTTTCCTTATTGTGTTCATTGCGCTTTGCAGTTTTAAAATTTTTACATACACTGTGGTTAACTGGATAGTTTTAGAAAAGTTCTAGTAATTGATAAAAAACTATATAAGGGAAAGCGGTTCCCGAATACCTGAAGAAGCCCTGTCTTTGGATGATCAAAAAGAGGAACACAGTAGTACTGGTTTGGGCAATCATCACTGGTAGTCTTCTCAAACAACGTTCCGTCTTAAATACACACATAATTTAATTTCTGGTTTTTCAACATTTACAGATTTCGTCACCAATAATTTTACTTTTTTGGTATTTCAACTTTCAAGCTTCTTAAAATCGAGGAAAAAAGCCAAATTTTTGGCTTATTAAGTCACCGTTCGCAAATTCATTGTTGTATAACTTCGACTGGTTAGGTTTCACTGAGCCAGTATCCTCAGTATCTTCTTGTTTTCCATTCTGATAAGGGTCCAGTTTGCACGTCCTGATTTTTTCACCTTTTTTCAACGGTTCAAGCTTGTTAGCACAACGATAAGCTGGAAATATATATAACTTAATGTGCATTTTGTACCGCAATTTTTTGATGAATAAGTTTTTCTGATGCTAAAAAGGAAATATGCAGAAATTTAAACAGCAAAGTTAGCGCCCACAGCTGAAGGTTGGAAGATGCGTTGGGGAAGTCTTGAAATCGGTGTTATTCTCCGTTAGTTTTTATCTAGTATGTTAGGAACTGTAAGATTACAGAGGAATGTTAGACAGGTGGTTTTGAAACATGTTATTATGATCTGTCTGAGATTTCAAAAATTAGCTAAATGTTTGTTGCTTACTCAACGAGAATCAAAAGTTTTACTTTACAGCGGAAGATATTCAAAGATATTCATAAATTCTTTCAAACCCCCATATCTTAGAGCAACGAAACGTATTAGCATACTTAATTTTATGAATATACTCATCAAAAGATTTTTAATCTTTCCGCTGCTGACAACATGATTTAATTATCGTTATCTTTTCCCTTTGCTTATCTATTTTCTCTTCCTACGTTAAGAGAATCTTATTTAACTTACCAGTTGGTTTGCAACCACCATTTTTATCTCTCTGAAATCCAATTTTGCATCTACATCCACCGGAAGTACACTCTGAATATGCCGCTTGACACTCAGCATTTGTTTTGCACTTTTCCTTAAAATCATTTCTGAAGTACCTTTACTTACGTACCGTAGCTATCAGTCGTTTATTTGTAATATATGACACAGCAACAAAAACTTTTTCTTACTTTAAGCCTTCTCCGTAGCCTCTTACAGTGAATGCCATCCACGTCAAGACTATAGCCAAATTCGCTAGGACACTGACACGTACAGTTTTTAGCATCAGCGCATATACATGCTGCATTACCCATGCATCCCTCAATTGGAGAACACTTTTCACCGACCTTTGGCCTTTTTAAATCAACGGTTGCTTAAACGTTTCTATTTTTTCAAAAGAAAACTTCAGGTTTCTGTGATTAGAGGCGTACTTTCTCACAATTAAGAACGCTAACCAATCTTTTTATTAAGAAATCAAGTGTTTTGCTTTTTCGTAATGTACCTAATATCTGTAATTTCCGCCTGGTCTAGACAGTTTATAATCTGAGAATTATGAACACCAGTCATTATATTTTCAACTTGATTATTTGAAATGAAAATAGGCTTACTTGCCGAGTCGATTCCACAACAAAAACCGGTACGTTCTTCACAAAATGTCCCTTTCGGACATTGAATCATAGGTTCGTTAATCATTTTGCAAATAATGGGTTTGTTAATCCTTAAGTTAAGTAATGGACGAGCCGGAAACAAGCACGTCCGAAGTCCTAAAAATCTGTGTTTGAGCGCAGCCATTGTAAGAAACTGAGCTGCAGTAACTACGTATGGAGATTTCGTGGGCTTCAAAAAGGCATCTGAGCCAACAAATCGCTCCTAATTGTCCTTTTGTGATTAATACGCTGCGTAAACAAGTAACAGTTTTACCAGAGCCTACGATTTGCACTTTTTGCATGAATTGCTCCATTGTTAAAATACCGAGACGGTTCAGTTATCACTGGTTGAGTTTTGTTTTATCTGGTTTGTTGGCTCTTAAACTTCTTCCGCGACAGTTACAGCTATTTTGAATCTTCACAAAAAAAAAAAAAAAAAAAAAAAAAAAAAAAA